GTGTGTGTGTGTGAGAGAGTGTGTGAGTGTGTGAGTGTGAGAGAGAGGCAGAGAGAGCGATTGGGGCTGTGGTAGATGATGAGCTTTCATGCGTTACTAAAGACACACGAAAGGGAGGAGTTACACATCTGCCTCTGTTGTTGTGCGTGCGTGTGTGTGTGTGGCAACGTGTACATCTGGGTATGTATATGATTATCTGTTTGTGTATATAGAAGCTGTTTGCCCCTCCCATCCTGTATTTCATGCAGGTGCAGGAAACTGAGTGAAGCAAAAACTATTCCCACACTCTGAACTCACATCATGCAACATTTCAACTGGGGTTGTAATCGATCAGTTGAAGTAATTGCACATAATAAATTGAAATTCTCTGAGTTTTGGACTGTTAGTTGGATGAAAGCCATTGTGATTTGGGATCAGCATGTTCACCATTTGAGAGCATTTTATTGACTAAATATTCAATCAATTTATTGAATAACAGAAGCAAAACAAAATAATCAACAGATTAATCAAAAATAGAAATAGTCATTAGTTGTAGTCTTTGTTGTCTCTTCACTGGGCAAAAGGTTAGCATGACAAAGGCATGAAAGTGATTACAGCATGCTGATGTCATGATGAGCTGACTAATCCACTAGCTGTTCTCCTTATGACCCACTAATCCAGAGTGCAGATACTTGTGTGTCTGGTGTGTACATGGCTTTATGGTGATAAAGAACCCAGGTCGTATAAACGAGTAACATTTTGAGTAAAGCGAGCTTTGTCAGAGCTTATTGCTGTCAAAATGTTATCTCAAAAATGTCAAAAAAGAGTTTTATTTGGCACATTTTAAAGGTTCTCATGAGCGTAACGGTTGGCAACTTTCTCAAACACAACTTCAACCTGTGAATTCTTCTTTGATTTTAATGTGCCTCTGCATTAAAGTTTGCAGAAGGTGTTCTGTATGCAGATTCCTGCAAACAGCAGAACCCAAATCAAATGAAACAGCAGTGCACTGGATCCAGGCAGCAGAGGAGCAGAGCTGCTCCCCCTCCTCCTCCTCAGTTGTCCCAGGACCCTGCTGGCCACTGAAGCGCAGCCTCCAAACCAGGGTTCTAGCTAGGAGTCACAGGAAGGGCAAGCCCATTAATTATCTCTCCCTCTCTTCCTCCCTCCATCCTCCCATCACACCCTCCCTTCATTACCAGCAAGGTTAATCCCCCCTTATCTCCAAACGAGCCTCATTTTTCATTGCTCCCTTTCTACGACACTCCCTCCCTCACCCCTTCACCATCCTTTCCTTCTTTTGCATCATCCCACCTAGTCTGTTTCTTGGTCACTCCTCCCACAGACACTTTCCTCTGCTCTTCTCCAATCTGTTATCTTCCCATTTCTCCTTTCCTTTCCTTTCCTTTCCTTTCCTTTCCTTTCTTTTCCTTTTCTGTACTTACCTTGAACTGGCCGTGGTGAGTGGAGAGAGTAGATCTATTACAGCTTATCACTAAAGGACAGGCCAACGCCGCACACCAGTGAAATATGGCTGCTGTCACAGCCGCCGCTGAACACGACCCATGCACAAGGCTCACGGAGCTTTAAGGACAGGGGGAAGAAGGGAGAGGAAGACGGGGGACAGGGGCACGGAAGCCAGTATCAGCCCCCTAATTCAAATTAATGGAAAGATTTTCAGGCTTGATGCCGACCGTTTGACAGTGATTTGGCACACAATTAACCTTGCCTCCCCCTCCCCTCTGCCCCCCCCCCCCCCCTCCCCCGCGCGTCACCTTCTCGGTTTCGTTCGCTGCCTTGTTCTCTCTGACTCTCTCCATCCGCTGTACCTGTCACGCTCCTTGACATAGTCTTATTGATTATGAACCAGTTGGAGATCATGATGTTTTATTAGATAACTGCCGCTCCCTACTGTTGTATGGCAATTCAATTAGCTCTGAATCACCAGCATCCACGTAGCGTAACACGATGTGACTCGGCCTCACCAATCACAAGCTCATAGCAGACTCTAGAGGAAGTGTGAGAATAGATTTCCTCACAATAACAGTAGCATTAATTATTTGCAGCAGTTTTATTTGCATCAGTTAGCAAGATTAATATGACATGAGAATTATTTTTAAAGAAAATACAGCTTAACAACATGAAGAACAGGCCCGTGTGACTATTCTTTAAAAGTGTATGACTTGTAAATTTTTTTCTTTTATGTCAGCCCCAGCCCGCTCCGTGTACTGCAACATCTGTCCAGAGCGTGATAGATTTCTACTCACCGACCTGTTTAAAAGACCATCCGTCCTGCAACCTCAGCCTCTCAGCTAGACTTCACTCACTCTTTTTATAGGCCGTTTCACATTGGGTTCCAGTTCATGGCTGCAAACAGCCTATGGCTCTCAAACAGAGGAGAGCAACTGGAGTGTTAAGGAGGGAGAGGGGAGGTGCACCAAGTAACAAAGAGAGTAACAAAGAGAGAGATGGAAAGAACTTTAGAAGAGAGCGTTCTTGGTTTTAGACTGAAACAAGTGCATAAAAAAATAAATTAACAATAAGGTTACAGGATATAAAGAAAATAGCAGTTATCGTGGTAACCTGTACAATTTATTCAAACAAATGTCATTAGTTTGTGCTGAATGCCTTTATTTCAGTAACGACATAGAGTAAGATGCTGCATGTTGCATTCTATCGTAACAGGGAGCTGTTTGCTGTTTTTCGCCATTTGACATTTTTTTTTCTAAAAAACGTAAGCTTGCACAAATTCGCAGGGACTAGCCGCCCCAGTTAATATAAATAAATAAATGTGAAACAATGAGGCAGCATGGGAGATTTAATTCAACTTAAGTATCTCTATCATAAGATTTATCTTTGAAGAAAAGTCAGACCTTCCTGTGGATGGCTGGGCATGAAAAGAGAGTGCCTTTATGAGGTTTCGATCAAGCATGAAGGAGTGATGATACTGCCTTTATTAACTGTGGTAGCCTGGTTGAGCTGCAGTCGTAGAGGAATGAGATGACAGCATGTCGGTTTGCAGGCAGCTAAGTGAAGGAGTCTAGATGTATCCCTGCGTCAGCACAATGTTTGCTCCGTGTTGATGATTATCCCAGCTTTTCTGCCTCAGCACATGTGACGTGGGCAAACTACAGCAGAGGCAAGTATGACAGGTATGTGATGGACAGCGACGTGTGAGCGCTGTCAAAGGGTGTCAAAGAATTTGCTGATGTGACACTGTAGGTTCAGCAAACACCTCCAGATGTGGAAATGGCTAACAGTGTAGTACAGTATACAGGCAAACAATACAATAGGTTTGCTGTTATAAGCCCTTCACAGCAGGCTAGTAAAGGCTGTGGAACAGGCCTTATGGGTTACATTTACCTAATTTAACTACTTCAATTCAAGAGTTCATCTTTAACTCATTCATTTGATGATATCCTAGGGAATATAACTTTAAGAATTTGCAGGGAATAGGATATGTGTAGGCTTTTGGAAGCCACATGAGTTTGCATTGACAGGTGGGCAGTACTTTTTGTGGATGGGGAGCTGAAAACTGACTGAGACCATAAAAACATCAAGGTGCAAATGCACTAAATGCCTAAAGTACGAGGGACACTTTCATGAAGTACACCAAGGATGTTAATCCAGGTAAAGCAAGGAGAGGAAAAGAAAGCAGGGATGTAGAGGCACACAAGGATTTGAAAGAGAACTGAGATTGTGGATTGTGCAAAATATAACAACTGACAAGACGTTCACTGGAAGGATTTAATACTTGAGGTACTTGGAGGCTGTAATGCAAGGAAGACACCGCTGAAACACAGCCTGAGATACAAAAATACAATTTTGCAGTTTTGTTTGATCATGACAAAAAGCTCTCAGATAGATTATGTAAGAGTTTGAAATTTAAATAATCCCCACAGCCCGGCCTCCTCTCAGCGCTCAGCAGTCACGCAACATGTTTCCATTGTTCTAATGCAGCCTCTCCTGTAATGTCCAAGTGGTAGAGTGGAAGCTGTGTAAAAGCTGTGTGTCTGGCTTTTGCCATCACTCTCCTGATTTTCAGTATATGGAGGTGGGGAGCCTCACGGTCCACATCCCAAAAAAAACAAAAACAAAAAAAAAAAAAAACAAAAAAAAAAAAAAACAAAAAAAAAAAAAAACAAAAAAAAAAAAAAACAAAAAAAAAAAAAAACAAAAAAAAAAAAAAACAAAAAAAAAAAAAAACAAAAAAAAAAAAAAACAAAAAAAAAAAAAAACAAAAAAAAAAAAACAGCATATGTGCGCACACACCATGCACGCACACGAGTGTAGGTCAATGAGTACTGCTGTAGCACCAGTTCCCCATGACTCACGACACAGCCGTGTAAAGGGCTTAACACAAGGTAGGAGGGGATAAGCAGCACCCCTGATGATTAAGCTGCCTTTGCTTTGAAGCAGATGTGAGCATGTGTGTTCATTCTCCCTCTCTTCCTCAGTCTTTCTTTGTTTGTGTGTGCAAGCGCATGCTGGTGCGCTCATGCACCTCACGAGCGCTCAACCAAATGCCATGACTATTAATGTATCCTGATCAGCCCACTGAAAATGAAGCTAATCTGTTGCAAGGGAAATGGGGCAGGAATTAGCTCCTTCAATCTACCAATGGTTTCCTTTTAGCATCTGAGGTATCCCGCCATTTATCTCCATGCATTCTCTAGCTGCATCCCATCTCACAACAACTAGTGGTTGTGTAGACCGATGCCTGCCGTTCTATCAGATGACAAACACCGGCGTTCATTTATTGCAAGTGATGATTAATTTCATACTTGTCACAAAGCCCTGATACACATGAATTGAAATTCCAGCCTGAAAATTGACGTGCCTTTATTTAAAAGAAGTTGATTAAGCAGGAATTTCAATTCATCTCATTCAGTTTTCAGCCAGGAATGATCAAACTGAAATTGAATGTACTGCAACCCAAAGTATCAGGGCTGTCTCCATCAAACTCTCAAGCAGCAGACTCTCTTGCATGTTAAGTGTAAATATGTTTGTTCTTCTCGTAGACCATTGTTCGAGGGAACCGGCCACCCAAAGATGCGTCCATCAACGGCCTGCTGGAGGAGTTTGACAACATCTCAGTGACACGCTCCAACTCCCTGCGTAAAGAGAGCCCACCAGGTCCCCACCAGGTTGGAAGCAGCTCCAAACCCTCAGGCAGTGGTCATCCCAACGCCCCAGAGGAGAATGGATTCAACCACTACTACTCCCGCTACTCCTGTGACCTTGACACCTCCAGCAGAGACTTCTCTCTTGATCCTGGCAAGCCAGGGTTCTCCATAGATGGGGACTGGGCTGTGGGGAGGCACTATCGATTCACCAAGCAGAATGGCCACTCACACCCCATACGCAGCCCCTTCTACCCAGACGCCATGCCCCAAAAATCAGACTATGGCAAGCTGCCACCGGACTACCACACCTACCTGGAGAGCAAAGGGCGCTCAGCCGATGAGGTGGCCTCCACTGTGGGGAGTGGGGTGGGTTCCAGTGGCTACTATCGGGCGTCTGTGGGTGGCTCGTCCAGCCAGGACTACCGGGACACTTCAGTTGGCACGCCATCTCGTGCCTCGCTACACAGCGAGCAGATCAACTACCCAGACAGTGAGTGGAGCTATGGTGGTCTGCGGGACGAATATGAAAAACGACCCAAGAGTTCCTACGTGACGCAGACCAGCCCCACGCCAGCTATCAGGCAGCGATCTCGGTCAGGCTCTGGGCTGCAGGAGCCAAATGTTCCCTATGCAGCCAGCGGGGCTTTCAAGAACCCTCCACAGGCCCATTCATACAGCTCCTACACCTACCCTCGCCTCTCGGAGAGTCTCGCAAACTCACAGACCATAGCTAAGGTAACTATAACAAAACACAAAAACGATGCACTCTACTAATACATTTTAATAAAAAACCTATTCATCTATGAACATAATTGTGACAGGGCCTTTGGCAGTGTTTACTCTAAACTGCAGAGTATATTGTATAAGCGACCAAATTACAGTGGCTGTCCAGGAAACATGTTTCAACACAGAACTCCTCACAACCCTGACAAGCCTGTAGCAACATTTCATAGAAAATTACAAAGATGTATCCCCACATTTAGTCCCACCTCCTATCCACCTGCAGTCTCTTTCAAATATTCAGTCCTTTTCTCTCTCTCTCTCTCTCCCTATGCTTCTAGTTCTCTCACATTCTCCGAAGTAGGCAGGTGCTGCCACGTACAGAATTAGCCCTCGTCGGTAGCCACTGTCTCTGCACACAGATCAATTAATGCTCATGATTATCATTGACCAGAAAGCTCTGAGTTACACAGACCAAACAGAGAGGCATAAAGGAATGTAGAGAATAAAGAAAGAAGTGACATGGCAGGAGGAAAATGAAAAAGAAAATGCAAGAAGCAGATAAAATTGAAGTAGACAAAAAAAGTGAAACAATCCAATGATAGTTACCTCAACATACAATAACAACAAAGAATCATTATACAAAATTTTGGTTGCAAAAATACACTTTAAGGAGTAATTTGCACAAGAATATGGATTTAGCTACCTTGAGTTTCTGAGCATGATGTTTCTAAAGTGTCATTATAAATATTAAATAAATAATGATAATGATAACAATAAATAAGAACTGCTGTGTAAACTGGTTTGCAGCTTTCGAGGTATTATTATATCAGCAGATAGTCAAAGCTACAAGAAATGTACGGTAAATACAAAATGACATATTTGATTGTTAGTAAAGTTGCCAAGCAACATGACCTGATATTGACGTTTCATAGCTTATAGCTTCACATTGTGTAGGAAACACCTTCACTGTAATATGTTGGCACTAGGAGAGTGTGATGCAGCCTGTGATCTTCTCCAGTGGAGCGGTGGGAGGGACTGAGACACCAAGAACAAGAGCAAACAAACCTTACATGCATTAGTGGCTGTGTAATGTAAGCTTATATTTGCACTTAATTTTATCCTGGGGATTCTTTTATACCAAAATTATTTATACAGAACTGTAGAATATGTTTGTAAAAGATATTAGCGGGAGGCAAAAGATGCTGCCAATACAACAGCAGGTGTAAGTCACAGAAAGAGTGGTCAGTCTATAGGGTGCCCTTATCATTTCTTTACCTTTATATCTTTCTCCAAAGCTTTCAGTGCCCCATTAGGTCCCTTATACAGGAGTGTGTACTGCTTTCCAATATCCCTCCTTAACATCAAGCGAGTCCAGTGGCTGAGAGGAAAACTGGGTTTGCTGATGTAGATCCCAGGGTGCCTTGATGAAAAACTATTTAACCTGCATGCTTCAGTAAATAGCTACCAGTAGAAAAAAACAACTACAGAGAATGCAAGTGTAGCAGGATTGAAAGTGATGCAGGGGAAGGTCATTTTTCCTACATATGGTTTATTATTGCCATTTTGAGAGCTGTTGTGCTTGAGGAGGCACATTAGCTTCTCTGAAAAAATGTACAATGTGTGTTGGCAATGTAAAGATTTAGGACTTAACAGGATGCAGTCTGATCCACAGCTTTCATATTGATCTAAAAAGCTAAAAATGCTAAAAGAAAAAACTCCATCTGCCTATATTTGGTGCATTTTAACATTTTTATTCAATGTTCTATGTGTTGTTTATCCAAATCTTAAATCAAATGAAACTTAGGCTATGATGAAGTGCTGGCTTTTGAATCAATGCACCCTAATTTGCCGTGTGGTGTTTGGAGATTTTTCAGCAGTGGTAAGAGGGGAAAAAAAAAACAAGGAGTCATCTGGCAGCTTAAGAATCACTATTCTTCTCGGCTCATGGACCTTGTAACAAACCCACCCCTTTCTATCCTCTCTCATTCTCTGCCTTTTCTTCGTTTTCCCTCATTCAGCCCACTCACACCACTGAAGTAAATCCTTCTTTTTCCCTGCTGTTGTTAGGAGCCGGTGGGGATGTAACAGTAGACAGCACAGAGACTTGGCCACACACATACACACACACACACACACACACACACACACACACACACACACACACACACACACACACACACACGCACCAAGATACAAACAAACACACTCCCTCTCTCTCTGTGTGTTTCGTGGCGAGTATGAGCTCAGTGCCGCAGCTCTCGGTGACAAATTGATGTTGCGGCACTTTCCCTTTCTGCAGCCTTAGCATAAAACTGGCCGAACGATGTTCCACCGCGGAATTCAATTTCACAGTTGAGTTAGGTTGTTGATTACCCTGCCAAACTCAGATTAATGCACGTTTAACCAACATGGATCAGGAGACCCTTGGCTGACAGCCAGCCAGCGGTGCCGGCCAATGATATGGGGGGGGGGGGGGCAAGACTGGGCTGTCCCAGCAGCAGCCCCCTCCACACACACCTGCCTTGAGTGATTGATTAAAAGAGTTCACACCATGTAATTATACACCATCCCAGCACATCAGGGTTCCTCCTCCTGCCGTCTATGCACGTGTGTGTGTGTGTGTGGGTGTGTGTCTCTTTGTGTAAGTGTAAAAGAAAAAAGAGTGATAGGCACAGAGAGAGAAACAAATAAAAGGAAGACAGAGAGGGAGTTTTCTATTATCATCTCTGTCCCTTGAGAATTTATGATTTAAAAAAAACAAAAAACATGCTGGTTGAAGAGCATTTTTTGCGAGGCGTGGCAAAGGTAATTTAATTTAATCTCTGCATGGTGGAGTCAGCTTGATCCACTACTGCCAGTACATCAGTATCCGTATAATCCATCCTGGACTATTGATATTCTGCCGTTGCACTGTCATCCTTTTATTTATTTATTTATTTTTACTTTGGCAGATAAATTTAAACAAACTAACTCTTTATATGCACGCTGTCGCCCCGTCATACCTCTGCTCCTGTTAATGTGACTGATTGTTTATATAGCAGCTGAACATGCGAAATTGATTTCATCACTTTAACCAAGTCTGGCACATTTCTGCTCTTTACATCACTTTTCTCTGGCCATCCACTTCAACCGCCAGCATTTTCTGTCTGCGTCCTGTTTTTAAGCAGCTATGGCCACTTTTACACAGTAAAAAAAAGTCACAGAGTTACAAAGTCACTTCTGGTGTGGTCATTTGTGGTTTGAGATTCTCCTCAAGTTTGTGTCTGTGTGTGTGTGTGTGTGTGTGTGTATGTATTTGTGTGTGTGTATACCAGGCCTGCTGGCTGTTATGAGTCAGATCATTTAAGCTGAGTCATACAACTGAGCTTTTAATAGGTCTCTCTAAGTTAAGCTCTACATTCTCACTGTGTGTGTGCGTGTGTGCAGGCTTGCGTGTGCATGTGTGCGTGCGTGCATGTGTGCGTGCGTGCATGTGTGCGTGCGCTGGCTCCAACACTTTAAAGGAGACTCACGTGTTTCTGGGATCTTAAGGAAGAGGCATGTCCCAGATCTGGATTCTCCCTGGGTTCCTGGCTGATGAATGGGCTAGTTGAGGAGCATTGTGGGGTACTAATGATAAAGTATGGCCCCTGTCCTGTGGACTAAATGATGTCCATTAAGTCTGTCGAGGGCTAATGTACCTGCAGACATACCTGGAAGTAGAGCTGGCATTTTACTGTGGAGAGAGTGTGTGGTCATGCATGACTGTAAGAACGCGTAACACCTAAGACCACTCTGTTAATGCACACAGTGTACACACGTCTCAGAGCCTGTGTAACTGGACAGTGTCATATAACTTTGTCATTGTGCTGTCTCCTCCAGGGTGACTACGAGCGTCCATCACGTGATGGCAGTCCCCAGGTTACGGGCGGTGACACCTACCCCCGAGGGCCTCTTAAGCTACCTCAGAGCCACACCAAGCCACCAGGCTACCCCCCAGCACACCTGCCCTACCCCCCTGTCTTTCACCATTACAAACCCTCACCCTACCATCACCCCCCCTCCCAGCCGAGCCCACCATACACCCCTCAGGTACAGTATGTTCACTGTTCACAGATATAGAAATGATGCTGGCATAAAAAAACATATAAAAAACATTGAATTATCTGAAAAACAATTGCATTGTTGAAAAGCTAAGAACAGACATGAAAAGTTCCCATTTTGAAGGTGCGTGATTTTCACAGGAAAGCAATGATTATGCTATGGATTATGATAGGAAATATATTTATTATGATGTTTTTCAAGTCACTGTAGTTTAGTTAAATGGGTGTTTACTGCATGAATTTGATAAACCGTACAAGATTAAGATTACTTCCAGTGTTTGGATGAAAATCAGCTCAAAACTCCATTACAATACAATAACTATGAAATATATTAATACTAAATATTAATACTATTTTATGTCTTTTTTTTCATTTTGTACATATGTGCATTTCCATCCAGGGGGCCTACTCGCAGCCTTCATCACCTTACATCCCCCCAGGGGCCTATCCCCCTCCTTCCTGGGGGTCGAGCTCAGACACTCAACCCTCCAGAGTCTCCCACGAGCAGTTCAGAGCTGCACTTCAACTGGTGGTCAACCCAGGTAAGATATGGACAATGGAAATGAAAGTGATACTGAAATACCTTATTTTTTTTGTTTCCCGGTGTTGCATCAAAATTGGGCTGTGTTTGCGTTTGCCTACAGGCGACCCCCGGGAATATCTGGACAGCTTTATCAAGATCGGCGAGGGCTCCACGGGTATCGTGTGCATCGCCAGTGAGAAACACAGCGGCAAGCAGGTGGCTGTGAAGAAGATGGACCTCAGGAAACAGCAGAGGAGAGAGCTGCTCTTTAATGAGGTGTGAAGGGCTGACGGAGTAACTGCAGTACACTTATGGGAAGAGTAGTCATACCTAAAGCAGCATATTTTACCACGGAGTAACATCCCTGGGTGTTCTGACTTCATACAACAACACATTGGATGCATGACTACTTTTAGTGGGTCAGTATGACCCACACAAATAAAGGGCACCATTCCCATTCCTCACTGTGAGATCAGAGCGAACAATTGTCACTGACTGCAGCTCAAACAAGCAGCAGCAGCAGAGATGAAACTGGTTTAAATAGCATCATTAAAGATGGCTCAGTTTGTGCCAGATAGATAAAAATAAATCTCCCCTCCCACAGCATTACAGTAGCTTATTAACAAAAAACACAAATTCAGTTTTCCTCTGTTTCCCTAACATATATTCATGGCAATCAAACCTCTAACACATTTTTACATCTATAATTGCATTTATTTCCAAAAAATTACAGTCTTCACACTGAAAATCCTAGGCAACACATTTATTCATAGCTGTTTCTATTTATGGTACACTGACTATTGAAAAGTGAATATATATATACGGTATATATATATATATATATATTTGCAGAGAAACTTCATGATCGCTTGTTTTGGACAAAAATGTGAATTCAGTAAAACCTTGGATTTCCTCCTTTATCAGGCAACATTGCACTGATTCTATTTTGGGTGTGTGTGTGTGTGTGCACGTGCATGCGTGCACGTGCATACATGTGTGCACATGTGTGTGCAGTGAACACAGATCTGAGGCTGTGGGTGTTCATTTGGGAACTAATTTGCTTTATGTAATCCTATTAATTGCTGAATGTAATCCTTTTATAGTTATGCCTTTGGAATATGTTCACATGAGACAAAAGGAAAGTTTTATTAATAAATAATTAAAATGACATGAATAAATTTAATAAAGTAATGAAATAATTTCTTTGTAACATATTTAATGTATTTCACATGAGAATATATCATTTATGGGTCAAGGTTTGTTAAAGCTCTATATTGTATGTGACTTTACAATAAAAACAGGTCATGTTAATAGAAATGGAAAAGTAAATATTTGTTAAAAGCCATTTCCATCTCTCTCTCTCTCTCTCTCTCTCTCTCTCTTTCTCTCTCTCTCTCTCTCTCTTTTAGGTGGTGATTATGAGGGACTACCACCATGAGAACGTGGTGGACATGTACAACAGCTACTTGGTGGGAGACGAGCTGTGGGTCGTCATGGAGTTCCTGGAGGGTGGGGCACTCACCGACATTGTGACTCACACCAGGTAACCTTGAATACAGAAATGCAATATAAGATACTGAGGTGTAAAATACCAAAGAAGCCCTGAAGTGGATGTGGAAATAGTCAAAGAGTAACAATAACAGCAGTAAAAGAGTGAGAAGGACTAAACCTACAAAGGGTATAAAGATCCAAGCACTCTGACACAATTAGGGACCAAACCAAATACATTTTTAAATAAGCAATTTCACACACTGTATAGAGTTAAAAGGTCTGAAATATAACTGGGAGACAAGACCCTTCCTTCTTTAAATGTAAGTAAGACCTTGAAATGACTTCTAAAATGAATCACTAAATTAATGATACCTGAATAGGAGTACCAATTAAACATTTTGGGAAATGAATGTTAGATGGGAACATCAATACCACTCTCATGTGTGTCTGTTATATATGAAGCTACAGCCAGGGGACGGCTAGCTTAGCATAAAGACTGGACACAGAGGTAACCAGCTAGCTTGGCTCTGTCCAAAGGTAATCTGTCTAAATGTCATTAATTAACATGTTCGGTTGATACTGTATGTACAACACAGTATATTGTGTTAATGAATGAGCTTTAGAGCTGCTTCCAGTCTCAATGCTAAGCTGAGTTAACTGACTCCTGGCTGTAGCTTCATTTTTAACGGACAGACATTTGAGTGCTATCAGTCTTCTCATCTAACTCTCGGCAAGAAAACTATGCCTTTAAAACCCTAACAGCTGTAATTTTGGACAGACTGTAGGATTCGAAAAGGGCGATAAGAGCTAAAATAAATAAAAGAAAAAGAAAAACGAATACGATACATTTCCAATAAATGAGGCCACAGCTTTGTGCTTGTCGTTTGTGTGTGTGTGAGCTGTGCTGAATAAATTGGCCTGAGAAATGCTGAGACAGACACAGAGAAAGCCATTTTTACTTGAAACGACTGAATACATGTGATGTTCAGGTGATGGTAATGGCATCAAAGAGTGCTTAGCAAATGAACATGTGCTGTTAAAAATCATTGGCGCTACACATCAGAAACTTCACAGAGATGAGTGATTTCACAAGACGACCTGGAGAAACAAGCAGATGGGCAGTAATCCAGTCCTGGCTTTGATAGTTTTGGGATTATTGTTCTCCAACTTTTCCTAATTGCTTCTCTGTTGTTGAGTCGTGTTTCGAAGCTGCCGCCTCATTGTTTTAAGCTTACTTTGTGCTTGGTGTTTAATTACAGTCATTTGCGTGGAGTGTCAGCATTAGTGCTGTGCGGTGTCGGATGCTAATAACACGCTTTGGTGAGGCTGAGCACCGCTGCTGCCGTGAAGTATTTTGAACAGTCACCCACACAGATGTTTGTGTTCAGTGTGTGTGTGTGTGTGTGTGAGAGTGCGTGTGAGTGTGTGTGTGAGAGAGAAAGAGAGTTTCAGTATGCACGAGTGCATTTAGAAGTACTAATGGAAATCTCACTGAATAGGATATTACTGTGCACACATTTCTCTTTAACTCACCTTTTTTCCTCTTTTTCTCACTCACAGTCACTCCACAGTCTCCACTGTTGAATATTGGAGTAATTGTGTATGTTTAAAACAAAATCTTTTCAGTATTCAAATTGATATTTCAACAAATGTCCCCAATCAGAATAAAGAAAGAGGAGAAAGTGTGTGTTTGTTAAATGGAACTTAGTAGCTAGATCTTATTAAAAATTACCTTATTAGGTTAGTAGCCATACAAATTAATCACTTGGTTTAATTATTGGCCATTACTGTATATATATCCAAAGTCACGCTATAAGGATTACAGCACTGTGTTTTTTCCTTGGTAATTTCAGCCATATTTGTCCAGGTGAAAGCTTTGTGCTATTTCTGTTAAGCCTTTTATTGTGGAAATAACTGCTGCTTGCCTCGCGTCGTGCAAGCTTCATCAGCTCGCTGGGTGTTCAGTAAAAAAAAAAACAAACACTGAGATTCGTGAACACACACGCACACACACACACACACACACACACACACACACCCCTGACCCACACAAGCAAGTCAGCAGTGGCAGAATGGCTCTCCCTGCTCCTGAACTATTTCAATCACGTTCAAATTTCAATTATACTTTTAGAGTCAGTTAATGAGCTGCACTTCACAGGGATTTTATCCAATGTAAGTGCAAAAGCATATGTATTTATGCTTGCTGGTGTGTGTGTGTGTGTGTGTGGATGAGTGCCTGCATGATTGTGTGTGCGTAGGTGCGTGTGTAATTCTCCCCTTGACAACCTTTATAGGCTCATTAAAATTGTTTTTTACTTTGTGTTTGAAACAATTTTCTATTTCAGCGATTTCTATTTTGATTGTCTGTTCATTTCTTAGTGTTTGTGTGCGTGTGTGTGCTCGTGCGCGCGTGCGTGTGAGCGAGATCGGTGGGGGAGGCGGGGGGGGCATTAAGAGGTTGTTGTTTTCGCACACATGTCTCCATCCCATTCACTTTGAGTTATCCAGTTGTTTTTCCATTAGCAGAAGGCTCATCTATCTCTCGTGATTGTAAATGCATACATGTGTGACAATAAAATCTGCTGCATTGTGAGGGCTGTGTATCTATGTGTGTGTGTGTGTGTGTGTGTTTGTGTGTGTGTGTGTTCATGTTGCCTGTGGGTTGTTTCACATAATGCAAGTTTCTAAGTGACTACTCCAACAGAGGGATCTTTTAGACTGAGGGACAATATGGAAAGAGGGATGAGAGTGAGAGTTAAAGAGAGCAAGCATGGCTGTGGGTGTGTGTACTCTACATGCATGAATATGTACATGTCTTACATACATGTGTGTTTCCTGTCTATGCCTGCAAATGAGGGTGTGTCTATTTCTGCACATGTATGTGATGGCCGCTCAGAGTGAACACACACACACACACATACACTCATAAACACGCAGCATGGCCTGGCCAGCTGGGTCTAAATGTTAATGTTCAGTGGAGCTGTGAGTTTCTATGTGAGCTCAGTCAGACACACTGCATCGCCCCGTCTCTCCATATGGGACCCTCCTGGCTGCTCTGCGCATCACAGCTACAGCCGCTGCAGGCTACAGGGGGGGATTTCCAAACCCCATCTCTGCTCCATATCAGCTGTGTTGGACTGTAATCTCTTTAGGATGACAGCGAAAGTCTGCAACCAGACTTGTAGCCTAATAAACAATATTCATTTCTACCCTTCAAAAAGTGTGTTATTTCTTGAAATATGTCATGTTATTGGCTATACGGTCGTCTTGATGTTCCTTCTTTGGAAATAAGTTGAAGACTCAATATATTTATTTTTAATTATTTTTTTTACAGCCACATTACCGTACCATTCCTTTTCCCACAATGCACCTCAGAAAAAGACAAATACAAAAAAAATATGGATTAAAAAGATAAAATACTTATTACCAAACTGTCTAAATTAATAGAAAAAAATTAAAAATAGAATAAAGATAAGATATTAACACAACAGACTAAGTGCTCTGAAATGAAATGTAATTTGATAAATATGAGAGATGAAAATAAGTGCTCACGCATAATGTTTTTAACTGGGATGGCATGGGATGGTTCAATAAAATTACTGTTAACTATATCACAAGAGACAACAATAAAATACAGGGTAAGAAGGATGAATACACATAATACGGTAAGAAATAAAAGACAGTGAAGGTTATAAAGCATCCAGTCTGATTTCTGCGATTTAAAGTAATCTGTTTAATGACAGTTATTGCTGATGCATGTGTGTGCGTGTGCGTGTGTGTCTTCACAGGATGAATGAGGAGCAGATTGCCACAGTGTGTCTGTCGGTGCTGAGGGCTCTGTCCTACCTGCACACACAGGGCGTCATCCACCGCGACATTAAGAGCGACTCCATTCTCCTGACCAGCGATGGCAGGGTAAGTGCATATGACAAGTGTGTGTGTGTCTGTGTCATGTGTTTCTTTATGTGTGTTTAGATGTTTTTTTTTCGATTCACACTCCTTCCTTTGGGTTGTTATTAAACCAGAAGATCCCCCATTTAAACAGGGATCTCACTGACCAATAACCAATGCTACTACCCTTGTTCCTGTCACTGGTTATTTTAACACACACTGTCACACACTCGCTGACCTTCTCCATGGGTGCCACTCGTGGTACTTGTCAACAGCCAGTGCCAGAAACTCATCATCATCAATTACCACTCGTGCCCCAGTAATTAAATCCTGCCTAATGCCTCCGAACGAGCTGATAAGACATGATTAATTGAAGGATAATTAACCACTAATACAGGAGATTAGTGTCTTCTATGAAAGCTCTTAATCACAATGGGTCAGTGCACTTCTTGACATCAAACACAAGAGGTTCAGAATTAATACGGTCTCAGCTGTAAGTCAAGACACCTACATGACAAAGTGGAAGCTGAAGGCAGGATGGTGTTTGTGTGTGTTTGCAGATCAAGCTGTCAGACTTCGGCTTTTGTGCTCAAGTTTCCAAAGAGGTGCCCAAGAGGAAGTCCCTCGTGGGCACGCCGTACTGGATGGCACCAGAGGTCATCTCTAGACTACCTTATGGGACCGAGGTGATGACTTCACACACACACACACACACACACACACACACACACACACACACACACACACACAGATTAACATTGCTTTGCATCAATGGATAGAAAGAAGATACACAGACAGTACAGTGAAAACTGTACATGACCGTTCACTGCACTGTGTGTGTACAGGTGGATATCTGGTCTTTAGGCATCATGGTGATTGAGATGGTGGATGGAGAGCCCCCTTACTTTAATGAGCCCCCTCTGCAGGCCATGAGGAGGATACGAGACAACCTGCCGCCTCGGCTAAAAGAGTCACACAAGGTAGATCTGCCACTACATAAAAAAGTATAAGCGACCCAAGTTCCTTTGTCTTTCAAGATCTTTCTTGCATATATTTGTGCTAGCAGTAGACTTCCCTTTACAATCCATATTAAAGATCAGATAAAGGACCAAAGTATTCCTTTACTATCTCCAGGTGTCCTCGGTGCTGCGATCCTTCCTGGACCTGATGCTGGTGAGGGAGCCCTCTCAGAGAGCCACAGCCCAGGAACTCCTCCAGCACCCTTTCCTCAAGCTGTCGGGACCCCCTTCCTGCATCGTCCCCCTCATGAGACACTACCGCCACCGCTGACCTGCTGGCCCAAACCCGCCCTCTTCTACACTAAAAAACACACACACACTGTACACACACTACCAGGGTGGCACAGCCCTCACCCAGCCAAAACACTCCACCACGCGGTGGTGCGCCACTGACACTCACACCTGTAACCGTGACGTAGATTAGCTAGAGGAATATCTAAGAAAAAACATTTAAAAAACACACGACAGAAAAGAAGAAAAAAAAAATCGTCTACTATTTTGACATTAAGACCTGGAGTAGAAGAGTGCACTGTGCCAGAGGAACTCACTAAACGTCCAGTAGAAACGTGGGCTGGCTCGCCCTGCTGCGGTCTTCTCTCTTCCTAGACTGTGAGTGTTCAGCTCCATGAAGAGTTGTAGCAACCATCAGCAAGAGCTTCAGAGGGTTGCGGCGATGCGGAGGGACCCTGGGCACCGGCGCTCTGCTCCAGACCAGAGCAGCAGAGGGCACAACAATTAGCTGCGTGCAGAGAGAGAGAGAGAGAGGATTTTGACTAGTACTGACTGTCACACGGCTGCTGCGTCATCAGTCCATCTGAAGGACAGGCTGCTGCTCAGCTGGTCAAATGGAGAAGAGCTCTCTTGTATCTTTCTTCTCATACACTAACAGTGAAAATGTATTTTAGAGAAACTTGTAAGTTTTTCTGTACAGTTTTGATAATTTGCAGTATTTTATCGTGTCGTAACCATTGTGATATGAGCAGTATTAAACAGAGTTTCTGCAGAGATCTTTCCTACTGTTTATAATCCAGTTTTTGCTTAAAGATATAAGAGATATCCCAAATAAACCCACCTAAACCTAACTGTTACTAAAAATACTAAATATATTTATTATCTCACATTTGTAGACAGAACTTCCATTAAATGTTGGAAAAAAGGGTAATGTCAGAATTTTGTATGACGTTTTAAAAGTATTTATTTATTTATTGGAATTGAAGGTTTATTTTTTTGGTAGTGTGGCCTTTTTTTGTTTATTTTCTTTTGCTGTTTTGTTGGGTTTTGATTTACATTTTTAAAAGCGTAACGGCAGACAGTGATATGAGTGGTTATATCATCCAAGCAATACCCCAAACCTGTTTATGAAACCATGAAGCCCTGTATTTATGATACTGTAATTACACCATGCATTTAAATGTAGCACAGATTGAGTGGATTTGACAAAAAAAAAAGAAATTACTCTACGTAGACCTGTTTTCTTTTATATTAGGAATCTTATCCTGATTCTCTAAATGCTAAGAGGCGCCCATCCAAGACGCCCGCCTACCGCACAGATTTTAGGATGCTGATAAAAAGGTCTGGTTTTCTACTCACATCCTCACTGTCATCATCTCACTCCTTATCCCACCTTAGTCAGAGACACACTCGCTATCACTGGAACTGTGCTGCCATTCTCATCGCTGGTCGGACCGGGAGAACAGCGTAATCCTCCTCCCTGCATCGTTTTTACCCATCATTCACTGTGATATGTAAATATGACTGTGTGTGTGCGTGCGTGTGTGTGTGTGTGTGTGTGTGTGCGTGTGTGTGTGTGTGTGTGTGTGTGTGTGAGTTTGTGTCCGTGTCCGTGTGTGTCAAAGAGCAAAAGAGGTGGCGCGTGTTTATCTCTGTACAACATCTGAGAGAGTGCGTGTGTGAGCGTGTGTTTGTGTGTGTGCAGCTGGCTAATCCTTGACAATGTGTCAGGACTTGAATGAGTAACACTTATCTGTGGTGTTGGCTTGTACAGTGATATTGCATGTTTGTTATCAGTGGAGCTGGTTTCAATTAAAAAAACGCCCATAAAAACATTGAGATGTGTTGCATGGATTTTTCCTTCATTATCCTCTACAGTCTCCTCTTCTTCCTCTTCTCTCAGTGTCTCATATCAAGCAGAGATTTTTTTTTATAAACAGTGCACTGTCAGATTATTCAAGGGACTTCCTTTCAGCCATCAACAGTTTGTTTTCTCTCTGTTGTTTTGGTCTTCCATATTCTCTAAATTCAACAGTTCTCATTTCCAACTACTTCACCCTAACTTCACCTCCAAACAGAGAAGCAGAAAGACACATCCATGGATCGGTGTTGCCATAATATATGAGGTTATTTCTCTTTCTTTCCTCTAAGCCATTTCCCTCTGAAACACTATAATGGGATATTGATCTCGCTCAGACAGAAACTGGAGCTTCTCTCTCAGAGAGAGATACCTCTGCCAACAGCCCAGTAAATAAAATCACAAGTACTGGGACTAGTTGGACTGCAGGGCATCAATGTGGATCAAACTCAAGACTGTAGAGCCTCTCTAGAGTTACTACTAAGGTGAATAATGTAATACATCCACATATTAACAAAACATCACACTCAGCTGTTCCACTCACAGGGACTCAGCATCATGTAAAATGTATAGGTAAATCAAAAATCTGACAGTATGAAGGTTGGTGGTCTTGCTTTCAGCTCTGAGAAATGGAACAAAGACCTTAATATTTCCCCTTTTTTAAACTTGAATTAATTATCTTAGACCTTTTTCACAGCAAACTATTTGACACTTTACAGCAGGAAAAGCATACAATTAATAACATTATTTAATTGCACATTTAGATCTGTTTGCATTCTACAGTAACAGACAAATTACAGATGGCAGGCTTTGTATGGCTGATTGTGGTACAGTATTAGCCTACTGATTTTTGTCAAAACATTTCAGTTATATTAAAATAAAATATTTCTCCACCAAAAGCCTATTTTATTCCTTTCAGTGTGGACAACATAGGTATAGTGAGGCATAAGATGGCATAAAATGTCATAGTATTGTAAGGCATGGAAACATCATAAAATATCATAGTATAATAAGATATAAGGTATAAGTATATGAAAAAACATCATATTATAGTGAGGTTTAAAATGTCATAACAAACGTCATAGTATAGTCAGCCGTAAAAACGTGAAAAAAACGTCATGATATAATAAGGCATAAGATGGCATAAAATGTCAGAGTATTGTAACGCATAAATTTAACAATCACAACAAACAATCTCATAGTATAGTAGGTCATAAAGTGTTATAAAAACATCATAGTACAGTAAGGCAAAAAAGTCTCAAAAAATTTCATAGTATGGTAAGGCATAAAAACATCAACAAATGTCTTAGTATAGTGAGGCATAAAAACATCATAGTATAGTAAGGTATAAAATGTCATAAAATGTCATAATATAGCGAGGCACAAAAACATCAAAAAACGTCATAGTAGTAAGGCATAAAATGTCATAAAATGTCATAGTATAGTAAGGCATAAACATGTCAAAAAACGTCATAGTATAGTAGGGCAAAAAATATCATAAAATGTCATAGTATAGTAAGGCATAAAATGTCATAGTATAGTAAGGCATAAAAATGTCATAGTATAGTAGGGCAATAAATGTCATAAAATGTCATAGTATAGTAAGGCATAAACATGTCAAAAAATGTCATAGTATAGTAGGGCAAAAAATTTCATAAAATGTCATACAATGTCATAGTATAGCAACTCATTAAATGTCATAAAATGTCATAGTATAGTAAGGCATAAAAACGTCATAGTATAGTAAGGCATAAAAACGTCAAAAACGCCATAGTATAGTAAGGCATAAAATGTCATACAATGTCATAGTATAGTAAGGGATAAAAACGTCATAGTATAGTAAGGCATAAAAACGTCAAAAACGCCATAGTATAGTAAGGCATAAAATGTCATACAATGTCATAGTATAGTAAGGGATAAAAACGTCATAGTATAGTAAGGCATAAAAACGTCAAAAACGCCATAGTATAGTAAGGCATAAAATGTCATACAATGTCATAGTATAGTAAGGGATAAAAACGTCATAGTATAGTAAGGCATAAAAACGTCAAAAACGCCATAGTATAGTAAGGCATAAAATGTCATACAATGTCATAGTATAGTAAGGGATAAAAACGTCATAGTATAGTAAGGCATAAAAACGTCAAAAACGCCATAGTATAGTAAGGCATAAAATGTCATACAATGTCATAGTATAGTAAGGGATAAAAACGTCATAGTATAGTAAGGCATAAAAACGTCAAAAACGCCATAGTATAGTAAGGCATAAAATGTCATACAATGTCATAGTATAGTAAGGGATAAAAACGTCATAGTATAGTAAGGCATAAAAACGTCAAAAACGCCATAGTATAGTAAGGCATAAAATGTCATACAATGTCATAGTATAGTAAGGGATAAAAACGTCATAGTATAGTAAGGCATAAAAACGTCAAAAACGCCATAGTATAGTAAGGCATAAAATGTCATACAATGTCATAGTATAGTAAGGGATAAAAACGTCATAGTATAGTAAGGCATAAAAACGTCAAAAACGCCATAGTATAGTAAGGCATAAAATGTCATACAATGTCATAGTATAGTAAGGGATAAAAACGTCATAGTATAGTAAGGCATAAAAACGTCAAAAACGCCATAGTATAGTAAGGCATAAAATGTCATACAATGTCATAGTATAGTAAGGGATAAAAACGTCATAGTATAGTAAGGCATAAAAACGTCAAAAACGCCATAGTATAGTAAGGCATAAAATGTCATACAATGTCATAGTATAGTAAGGGATAAAAACGTCATAGTATAGTAAGGCATAAAAACGTCAAAAACGCCATAGTATAGTAAGGCATAAAATGTCATACAATGTCATAGTATAGTAAGGGATAAAAACGTCATAGTATAGTAAGGCATAAAAACGTCAAAAACGCCATAGTATAGTAAGGCATAAAATGTCATACAATGTCATAGTATAGTAAGGGATAAAAACGTCATAGTATAGTAAGGCATAAAAACGTCAAAAACGCCATAGTATAGTAAGGCATAAAATGTCATACAATGTCATAGTATAGTAAGGGATAAAAACGTCATAGTATAGTAAGGCATAAAAACGTCAAAAACGCCATAGTATAGTAAGGCATAAAATGTCATACAATGTCATAGTATAGTAAGGGATAAAAACGTCATAGTATAGTAAGGCATAAAAACGTCAAAAACGCCATAGTATAGTAAGGCATAAAATGTCATACAATGTCATAGTATAGTAAGGGATAAAAACGTCATAGTATAGTAAGGCATAAAAACGTCAAAAACGCCATAGTATAGTAAGGCATAAAATGTCATACAATGTCATAGTATAGTAAGGGATAAAAACGTCATAGTATAGTAAGGCATAAAAACGTCAAAAACGCCATAGTATAGTAAGGCATAAAATGTCATACAATGTCATAGTATAGTAAGGGATAAAAACGTCATAGTATAGTAAGGCATAAAAACGTCAAAAACGCCATAGTATAGTAAGGCATAAAATGTCATACAATGTCATAGTATAGTAAGGGATAAAAACGTCATAGTATAGTAAGGCATAAAAACGTCAAAAACGCCATAGTATAGTAAGGCATAAAATGTCATACAATGTCATAGTATAGTAAGGGATAAAAACGTCATAGTATAGTAAGGCATAAAAACGTCAAAAACGCCATAGTATAGTAAGGCATAAAATGTCATACAATGTCATAGTATAGTAAGGGATAAAAACGTCATAGTATAGTAAGGCATAAAAACGTCAAAAACGCCATAGTATAGTAAGGCATAAAATGTCATACAATGTCATAGTATAGTAAGGGATAAAAACGTCATAGTATAGTAAGGCATAAAAACGTCAAAAACGCCATAGTATAGTAAGGCATAAAATGTCATACAATGTCATAGTATAGTAAGGGATAAAAACGTCATAGTATAGTAAGGCATAAAAACGTCAAAAACGCCATAGTATAGTAAGGCATAAAATGTCATACAATGTCATAGTATAGTAAGGGATAAAAACGTCATAGTATAGTAAGGCATACAATGTCATGCAATGTCATAGTATAGGAAGGCATAAAAACGTCATAGTATAGCAAGGCATAAAAATGTCAAAAACGTCATAGTATAGTAAGGCATACAATGTCATGCAATGTCATAGTATAGTAAGGCATAAAAACGTCATAGTATAGTAAGGCAATAAATGTCATAGCATAGCAAGGCATAAAAACGTCATAGTATAGCAAGGCATAAAAACATCAAAAACGTCATAGTATAGTAAGGCATAAAATGTCATACAATGTCATAGTATAGTAAGGCATAAAAACGTCATAGTATAGTAAGGCATAAAATGTCATAGCATAGTAGGGCAATAAATGTCATAAAATGTCATATTATAGCAACTCATTAAATGTCATAGTATAGCAAGGCATAAAATGTCAAATAATGTCATAGTATAGTAGGGCTAAAAAAATCATAAAATGTCATAGTATAGCAAGGCATAAAAACGTCATAGTATAGCAAGGCATAAAAACATCAAAAACGTCATAGCATAGTAAGGCATAAAATGTCATACAATGTCATAGTATAGTAAGGCATAAAATGTCATACAATGTCATAGTATAGTAAGGCATAAAAACGTCATAGTATAGTAAGGCATAAAATGTCATAGCATAGTAGGGCACAAATTGTTATAAAAAC